TACACTATGGAAAAATCTTGGCCAAATAATCTAAGATCAGACTCTAAACTTTGTCACTTTTAGAAAAAAATCCCATCCTTTAAGTCAATTTTAATAAGATAAACAAGAACATGTTTCTATTGAATCCATTTGAGTTGCCTGTAAGGAAAACAATCTCTATAATAATTAATCTAGAATGATTTGCACATTAAACTTTGGGTCTTGGAAATAGGTAGTTTTGAAAGAAAAGGGCTTTAATTGGTAAAACTAATTTTCTTCTGGTGCACTGTTTACTTGCTTAACTTATTATGCAAGTATTTTATTATGTCTCTAACATTTAGACAGATCTTAAATGCAATAAAGCACCAGACTTGTTTTCTCAATAGCTTGAACATCTCCTGCTAGGTGGCAAAATCACCGCAATGGAACACAAATATTTAACAAAGGGTACAGCAATGTTTAATTACCACTTCAAAAGATTGCTTCAAATTGAAACCATTTCCTATTCCAGTGGCATTTGGGTTACCTTTATTTGTTTGGGGCTATCCACTTTGTCTAATTTTAATAAAATTCACCCAAGGGACTAAAAACACCTATTTGAAAGCAACTGGAAGGCATTGGTTATATAAGATCTTACCTGGACAATAGCAAGTACTCAGGAAAGGTATATTGAGTTAGATAGAATATGTTAGAAAGGGAGTAGTAGCATGGGCATATTTCATTGAAAGAAAAGTCTCATCCAACTTTATAAGAAGTACATTAACAGGCTTCCTCAATTAATTGACAATAAGAAAACTCCCAAAGATGTAAATTAACAAATCAATTATTATGCTGCTAAGAGCCAACATAATCTACAATGTTGGAGCCATCCTTGAGCTAAAATAATCACTTTGTATTTAGTACTGTGTATTATGTAGGAACACTCAATACATAGCAATGCAAAGCATTGTCAATATTTCTCAGAATACATTTCTTTGATCACCTAGGATTGAGATACAGTGCTATTTCAATCCATTCATTCAGGAAGTATCTAAGTGTTAGAGGCACTGGAGCTAGTGGTGAGCATACAAGACAGAAGTTCTTACTTATCCTGGAACAAAGTTTCTGTAAGGTCTGCCCCAAGGCCATGCAGGCCCAGTGTAGATACCTCACTACCTCCATCACCCAGGTAACTGGCACACCAGGAAGCAGTCACCTCCCTCTCCTGCTAGGTCACATCCTGGGCCACCCCTGGTTATGCCTCCCATCTGACCATAGGAGGATCCCAGACCCTGAGGTCACATCCAGATCCAGTGTGGCCACACCTTCCTCCCACCTGGCCACACCTCTTCCTGTCCCTGGTCTAGATAAGTCCTGGCCTGGGGGTGGGTTTCCCCTTTTTGGCCACGCCTCTCCACTATGCATGGCAGGGACAGCAATTTGGTAAATAATACTTTTGTTTTCATGCCTGAATACTGTGTGGTGTTCTCTTCATCAGCTACCTAATGAAACCTACATATTTAATATACCTTACAGTTTCTAGTTGGAGTGGAGAAAACTTAATAAATAAACACATAAATAAGATACATAGGATATTCGTGTTAAATACATAGGAAAAATTAAGCAGGAATAGGGTGTGAGGTGTTGATGAAGAACTAAGAATGCAGAAAGGGAGCTGGGTACTGGTGGCCCATGCCTATATTCCTAGCTACTTAGGAGGCTGAGATCTGAGGATTGAGGTTTGAAGTCAGCCCAGGCAGAAAAGTTCCCATGAGGCCCCTATCTCCAACTAACCATGCATAAACCAACAGTGGCACTTTGACTCAAAGTGATTGAGCACTAGCCTTGAGCAAAAGATCTCAGGGACAGCACCTAGGCCTTGAGTTCAAACTCCATGACCTACAACAACAACAAATACAGGAAGGGGACTTCAGGGAGGATTTGGAAAAAGTAAAGGTACAAGTCAGGCTGATATCTGAGAGAATGATGATAGCATATACAAAACTTGTTAATCAAGAATTTCAAGGAACAATGATTTGGCTAAAGGTGACAAATGATAGGGTGTAGAGAACAGTCTCAAGAATGTATCCATTGAGAGAAATGGAAAGAGATTAGGGTTTTGATGAGAGAAGAGATGTGACCTGGCCTCAGGTTGGTGGGAGAAGTTGTTGGTCCTGAGGTTTAAAATCAGGACTTTGCACATGTTAGGCAGAGACAGGCACGCTATCATTTAAACCATCCCTCATTTTTTTTTTTTGTCAGTCATGGGGCTTGAACTCTGGGCCTGGGCACTGTCCCTCAGCTCTTCAGCTCAAGACTAGCGCTCTACCTCTTGCGCCACAGCACACTCCCAGTTTTCGGGTGGTTAATTGGAGAGAAGGGTCTCTGGACTTTCCTGCAGTGGCTGGCTTTAAACTGTAATCCTCAAATCTCAGCCTCCTGAGTAGCTAGGATTACAGACATAGGAACCACAGGCGCCCAGCTACCATCTCTATTTTTTTTTTTTAGTGCCAGTTTTGGGGCTTGAACTCAGCCCAAGCTGAGTCCCAAGCTTTTTTTGCTTTATCACTTGAGTCACAGCACCACTTCCGGCTTTTTCTGTGTATGTGGTACTGAGGAATCGAAGCTAGGGCTTCATGCATGCTAGGCAAGCACTCTACCACTAGGCCACCTACTCAGCTCTATCCCTCATTTTGTTTTATTTTCCAGGTAGGTCCCTCATTGCCTAGGAGTGGAGCCTAGACTGTGATCCTCCCATACAGCTGGGACAGTAGATATTTTTGTGTGTAACACCGCAGCCAGCTAACTGATTAACATGGCCTTATATATAACATTTTGCCCTGACTGGCCTTGAGTTGTGATCCTCCCAATTTCTGCCTCCCAAGTCGCTGGGAATACAGATAGGAGCCACTGTGTTTGGCCCAACATCATAGGTTTTAACATGTTTACTCAGGTTATTCTGGGACAAATAGCAGTTGAGCAAGGACAGAATCAAGAAGAACTGATTTGCTTGAAAAGACAGCTTGGAATCTGTATTTTTAACGGAATCTCTCAATGATTTACAGACATTGTTAGGGTGTTCTCCTCCATTTTGACTTAACAACTGCCATTGTAGGCAGTTGTTAAATCAGGTGAGCAGACCAGGCCTGGCCACAATCATTAATTCTCACACATCTGTGTCCGATTAGCCTCCAGTTGCAGCGGTGGAATGCCTTCCACCCAAACCTAACTGCAAAAGTTGCAATCAGTAAACCAGGCCCTGGCTACATGTTATCTTTGGCCCTGCCTGCAACTGCCGAGTACTCCCCACTCCTAGTATAAAGATGCCCCCTTTGCACAGAGACACAGCCTTGTTAGCTTGCTGACAATAAGCTTTGCTTTGGTGACTTGGTTTCCTTTGGTCCTTTGGGCTGGAGCTTTCAGACATAGCAAAATTTAAGAACTATGACCTAAAATCATGTAAGCATTTAGACGATTGACTTTATCATCTCATTATTTGGTCATTGCCAACCTACCACATTATTTTGCCTGTACAGAAACTGGGTCTAAGTCATTTGGACTAAATTCAGCTATCAGGTTTTCCATTTGGCCATCTAATCTCCAATCAGAGCTCAGGAAGGATGTTAACCCTGGACTCTAGCCTAAGACACCCTCTGAGAGAGGAGGGAGTTCCTCTCCTTCCCCTGCAGAGCTAATGCAGCCACAGTGAAATGTACCGATGCAGGCGCCAGGGACCAGGTTTCAGCATTCTCTTAAATACATTCCGTGACCCATTTTTTTCTTTTTTAAGATTTTTATTTTCTGCCAGGTATGGTGGTGTATGTCTGTAATCCCAACACTCAAGGGACTAAGGCAGGAGGCTAATATGAACTGCAAAGCATGATCTTGTCTCAAAAAGGAAAAAAAAAAGAGTTTTGCTTTCCTTTTAAATTGGAATAAGTTAGCACTTGTGTATATTTATGGCTGTGTATATTCTAAATTGATATATTCTATAAATCGTAAATACATATATTCTACAATGTATATTCTATACATAGATATATACATGTATGGAAATATATGTATAGAGAAATGTATATCCAAATAAAGCTCATGATTTGTGCTTCTTTTTTAAAAATTATTTTATTTCATTTAGTCGGTCGTGAGGCCTGAACACTGGGCCTGAGCACTGTCCCTGAGCTCTTCAGCTCAAGGCTAGTGCTCTACCAGTTGAGCCACAGTGCCACTTCTGGCTTTTTCTGCTTATGTGGTGCTGAGGAATCGAACCCAAGGCCTCATGCATGCAAGGCAAGCACTCTACCACATGCCACCTTCCCAGCCCAATTTATGCTTTTTAATATACTGGTGGTAATTTACTTTAACAAAAACTTCAACAATGTTTTAGTTAGGCACCACTGGTTCACCCCCTCAGACCTGAGGGATTGTGGATCAAGGCCAGACTGGATAGAAAAGTTCCCTAGACTATCTCCAGCAGAAAGCTGGAATAGAGTGGTGAGTCAATAGTTTCATGCCATTCTTGCATATCTGAAGTCCTGAGTTCAAACCCCAGTACTGTCAAAAGAATCCACTGCAAGCATTTTTGATGAATCCGTAATGATAAATAGCATTTGAGTCATACACTTCATAACTGAAATAACATGCACAAAAAGTTATCACTTCCATATTCTATGGGTAGAAAGATTCTGAACTAACCACTGACTGATTGATTTTGAGTTTTTGGAGATTTTGTTTCTCTATTTATTTGACTTTTTTGGCTCCAATAAAAACCAAAATTTAAAATTTTCAAGAGGCACATAGATATATTAAAGTAGATTTGCTGAACCAATGATTTACTTTTCACAATAGCATTTCATACCGTAGCTGTTTTTCTTGGCCACAATTTCCGTAAGGCATCATCATTAAGGCCTGATGCAATGTAAAATTTTTATAAACACACATAATAAATTATTTTTTAAAGCATTCATTATGATCTGTTGCCTAGGTGTAGATTATTCTTTTGATAGAGTACTGTGAACTGGTTAGAAATAAAGGATGTTGATTACCTTCTCCAACAGAAGAAGCTTCTAGGGGTTGAAGTTTAAGTCCAGTGTCTATTTTTTGAGGCTTTGTATAGAGAAACAAATAACAAAGAACACAGACGCTGATGACAAAGGCCAGTAAAACAAGGGCAGCAATTCCCAATCCGATCAGAGCACCAATGCTGAGGAACATAGAAAAAAATCATGTCATGCAAACTGGTTTGCACAAAAACCAAAGGCAGGGGCTAAAGATTGATTCTTGTTCTCAACTATTCATAACCAAATTATATTTTAACGTAGCTAATAAATAATTGAAATCTGCAGCAAATTTTTTCCTACTGTCAAATTTTTATTATGTTTTCTCTAAAAGTTTTCAAGACCCTTTTAGATTTATATGTTAATATTAGTGAAAATGCCATGTGAATTCATCATAAAGGTAGAAGGTCAAATGATGGTTCAAAAATACCTGTTATGTAAACCTCCATCATTGCTGTACCTTAACAAGAAAAATTCAAGTTTACCAATAATAGATGAATAGAAAAACATTTGCTGCAAAAATGTTGGGAAACAAATATTTATTGGAAATGTAAAACTTTTCTTTTGGAGACATATACATGAGATACCATTTATTGATCTACAAAACCACAACCTTTACCAAAAAAAGGTTTGGTTAAAGGAAAACCACATTTGTGAAATACAGATGAAGTACATGTTCAGTTTGAGATCTTTCTGTCTAGAAGAACATAACATCTAAGTCCTCTAGTATTCGAAAAGAAACTCTTGTGCTTTTATCCAAAATTAAGGTGCATGCACCATTATATTTGCTCTGTGCTTAATCTGTAATAAGTAATTTCATGAACTTACCAATAAGGCTAATCATTTGAGAAGCAATACAGTTTTTATAGAAAATCCATGAACTTAGTACTACTAAATGAAAAAAGGAGCTTGAAAAAAAAGCATCACCTACTAATGCAAAGATATGCATCTTTTGTGTGTATGTGTGTATGTGTAAATATATATAATTAAATATATAGATTAGATTTGAAGCTGCGCAAACAGACATTTCAATTAACTTTCCTACTGTTTCCCATTATGTTGTGCACAAGTATTAGAAATGCTCACATTCTTAACCTGTAGAAAAATTTCATAAGTGGAAGGAAATACTAATTGCTTTATGATTGATCAAACTGTTATCATTTGGAACACAGCATCATTGAAAAGTAATGTTCTTTTTTTTTTTTAACTCTTTCTGGTTTCTTTTAAGGCTCTTTCTCTCTCCCAGGGTTTAGGGCCTAACTAACTTGACTTGTATCAAAGGAGGGAAAGAGGAATTTGATCAAGTATGTTAGGAGAATGGTATTGAAAAATGAAAGGCTTGATTTGATGAGAGAAAGCACCCTTACAAATAAGAGATTGCTTCTTGAGCTACAAGATGAAGGCAGACTTCTAGAGGTTTTTGTGCTTGGTTTATTAACATTGCCCTGCACACAAGTGAAGACTGGGTGCTTGTATGGCAGAACCAGACCAGAGTTATATATTTTAATCTGAGGCTGATGTGAGCTGGTGTACTCTCCTTTAAGGGGATAGACTGTCTGTGTCTAACCGTGCACCGACTAAGGGCAGCCAAGGTGGACCCATGCTATTTCTGTAGATCGTGGCATGGAGGGTTAAGATGACTTCACTATACACACTGAAACATGAGAATGTAATCCAGTTAATATTATTTAGTGTACAAAGCAGATAACAGATTAAGATATCTGGATATATTCCTGAAACCAGAACCCCACTTATTAAAAAAAATCTACAAAGTAAAAAAAAAAAGTGACTCAATTAACAAGTGAAATTGTCAGCCTAATTAAATTCAACACACATACTGTGAACTTGAAATGTACAAATTAAGAATCCAGGACATGCAACTGGAAAGAAAACAGAACCAAAGCATGCTATGTCCTTTTTTACCCCTTCATGTGTTATAAAAGGAAAAGACTCCATAATCTAAACAATGTTTCAGTGTCAGCACTCCACGTCACAGAAACGCTGCTTTATACATGCAAAAGTCTAGGTATCAACTCTTAGTGGAAGTAGACCTGTAGCTGTCTCCCAAAATATCCATTTGAACAAAGTTATTGAGCATCTATTTAAGCTCACCCTTCTCTAATAGGCATGATCTTTCCAAGATCTTAGAGAAAGCTGCCAAAGGAAATCCTAAGAATGTAGAGATTTGGGGGAAGAGAAGAAATGGGAGTAGGGCAGACATGGGAAACACCCAAAAGAGTTGCTTTTCAAGCCCTGAGAAAGGGTCTGAAGCTGCCATCTTATTATTGCAACCATGCTTGTATTTAGCAACTTCACTTACCTTTTCATGGCTACTACTGACTTTCTCTAGCAGCTGCAGAATCTCAATATAAGAGCCAGTGACTTCTGCCATAGTTTTCACAGTTGGAGTATTTTAAATTACAAGTGACAAGGAAAGAATAGGAGGGAAATGAAGCCCTAATAAATTTATCTCCGCATTGTGTCCTCAGAGCTCAATAACTCACAAGAACCCCAGGTTTAATGTTACCAAGCAATGCTCTCAGTTAAAGTGATTTTTCTATTTCCTGGGAACCTGGCTAACTGGCCATTTGTCAGTTCTGAATGAAAGTCCCCCAGCAGGCTGTTTGCCCCTTTGTGCCCTCATAAATCTTAGGAAGGTTTTATATACTTAGCTGCTTGTCACTTTGGAACTACTTAGAGATCTGAGATTCTCAGTCGCAGGTTCCAATTGAATTTGGCTTAGGCATTGCCAGTCTCCATTGGAGACACTTTGGCCATTATTAATACTGTCAAAGACTCGGAGATGAATTATTGTAATTTTTCCCCAAAGGCCAGATAATATGCTACGGGTGCAACAGAGTTCTTTAGTCTAAGAATAAGCTGTGTTCTGGCATTTCCCACTCCAGCAAAACTCTGAGAATGGAACTTAGAATGTAGGTACTCTTATTGAGATGTTTATTGAAGCTTGAAATACAGAAGAAAATACTCTTATTTCAAGAAATAAGATGTGGTCATTGATGAAAACTTGATGTCTAACCAACCCTGGATAATGCTAGGAAATGGTCAGAAATAAAAATGTACCTCTTGCTAGCAACTCTCTCTCTCTCTCTCTCTCTCTCTCTCTCTCTCTCTCTCTCTCTCTCTCTCCCTTCATTTCTCTCTCTCCCTCTCCTCTCCTCTCTCTTTCTCTCTCTAATTTGTAAGAAACAGTTTAAGGGGGGCGTGGCAGTTCTTCCCTACAATGTTAGAACTCCAGTTGAAATACAGCAATCATCTTCAAAGCTGGCAATATCTTGAGTAGAAGTGGGGAAAGGCACTTCATAATAAAAGTATCTGCGTAAATACAATGGATGCGAAAAATTCTCATCCGAAAAAGAAGCAAGAAAAACTTCCTCTTAGAAAATCTCTACTTTCCAGCAATGGTCTGATGGCTCAGGTGTTGACAGAGAGTGTCTGGAAAGGCTATTCAGAGGGTGTGATGAGGCAGCTAACTCCGTGTTCTTTCTGTGGGTGTCTCTTCAGTTTGGTTGGGCAGTGCCAGTGTTGGATTGCCTGAAAAGAGCAAGTTTTGCACACACACACACACACACACACACACACACACACACACGTGTCTTTTTGATATTTTTAAGGAATCTAGCCAATTCCTAAAAGAAGCGGAATATTCTGGTCTTTAATTAATGCCTTCACATGATTCCCCCAGGAGCTTCCTTTCTGTTCAAAGACCAGTCAAAAAGAACCATTAAAATCTATACTTGAACTTATTTGCACGCACGGCTAGTTGGCCAGCCAGAGAACTGGCGTCGTGCCTGGGCCAGGTCGGTGGAACGGGCCCGGGTTGCGCCCTGGGCGCAGAGCCCCGCGCTCCTCCAGCGCCTGGCAGGGCTCGGGCTGCCCCTGGAGTGCCGAGCCGGGGTGCGGTTGCTCTCCCTGCCCTCCCTCGCCCTTGGAGGCCCCGCATCCCTGCGGAGGGACCTGACGGGGACAAAAGGCAGAGTTCCAGTTGGCCTCTGCGCCTGGAGCAGGACACCGTTGCCAGCCCTCCCCCGCCCGGGGCTGCCCTGCCCACCTGAGGCTCCACATGTAGCTGTGCTTGTAGGGGAAGTAGCTGCCGGGCTCGCTGCAGCAGTACTTGAGGTCGGCGAAGCCGCAGCAGTAGAGCAGCGCCGCGCCCTCGCCGCGCCGGGGGCACTGGAAGGGCTCCACGAAGCTGTGGTTCACGCTGAAGTAGCCGGAGCACAGCCGGCTGCTCTCGCCCATGGCGGGCGGCTCTCTGCGGGGGGTCCCCGCCCACCCCGGCACCCCTGGATGCGTCCGCGCCGCACCCCCAGCGCCCCTGGGTCCCTCCGTCCCGCTCGCCACCTCCCGCCCCTCTCCACCTCCGCGATCCGGGATCCGGCAGTCCGGGCGCTCAGCCTCCGCGCGCGCCCCTCGGCTCGCTCCCCGTCCCCCGGCGGTGCCCGCACGCCGCGCTCCCGCCTGGCCGGGGGCTCCCCCCAGGGTGGAGCTGGCACCTGCGTGTCTCCACTTGGTCTCCTGCTCCCTTCCACTGTATTATCTGCGCTCTGCTGACCCTCACCTCTTCCCCCTCACTCCATCAGTAGTCTAGATGGTTGAACAGGAGCGAGGAAAGGCTGGCCGGGGAGGGAACTGTGTAGGGCTTGTTTTCACATCTGGGCTGATGAAGTCAAAATCTCAATCCTGTTTCTCCAGGGTCTGGGCAGGTCGGTTTGGACACACACACACACACACACACACACACACACACACACACACACACACACACACAGAGCCTTTACTAACACAACACAACACGGGCCACGGACTTCAGCAGTGGGGAGTGGGTTGAATAAAGGCAGCTGAATTGATAGTGTGGTGTTCGTTATTTTTTTCCTTTTAAGAAGTTCATGTGACACAATGTGTTAGTTTTGAAGTAGCCAAATTTTCAACACAAATCAGCCACTATGAAAGAATACTACCGCCAGCCTCTGTGCTCATCCAAACAGCATGGAAAAGAAAAGAAAAAAGCAACAGATAGAGGTTTGGAACCTTCCAGAAAAGGAGGCAGAACAAATAGACAGAGATCTTCGATCAGTTCTGAAGTGCTGCAGTAACTACGTGTTCGCAGTTTCCTAAACTGTTTGTCCAGTCTTTAAAAATAACTATAGTCACAAACGCTTGCTGTGAAAGTCAAACAATACTTACAAAAAGAGGAAAATAAGCTTGAGGCGAGAGAGTGGGAGACTTTAATGCTTGTAGATTCTCCAAAGTAGGTAGAACAATGTGCCTCCTTCCCTCATTTTCCACTTCCTTCTCTTGGCCAGAGGTTTGATTGAATAGCAGACTTTATCTTGTGTGCTAGATATTTTTGTATTCCTATAAATACTCTTGTGCTCTGGTCTGGGACACAGTCACTTAGAAACAGTTTGATTCATTCAGACTCACTTTAGAGCTTTGTTAGATAGGACTACAGTAGACGAGAACTAAAAAATTTTCCCTATTTAACTAAGACCCTGTTGTTCTGAGCACTGTCCTCAATACTTACAAATTACACAACTCACTGTTCTGACTGGTGGAAACACACACTGTTCTCAGTCCTTAAGAACTCTGTTTCCTCTCAGTGTTTCTTTTTCTGGCTTCAAGTACCTTCCTCCCAGGCAAGTACTGAGCAAGCAGTACTCAGTATTGGGGATCTCCTAAAACTAGAACGGGAACTCTAGTCTGGTGCTATGTCCACTACCTCTGGCTTCTGTGGCTTTCCTGGATTCTCAGATCTATTTCCTAGGGGCCCTCTCCTCACATTGCAACCTGGAAATTCTGCCCAGTGAGCCAGTCTTCATGAAGCTCAAGTCACTTATCTCCATCTGCCTGGGGATTCTATCTTACACTATTGAATATCCTTGTCTACAACCCATTGTATCATAGTATTGTACTTTAGTTATCTCTGGAAAGGGAGTGAATCTGGTTCTTGTTATGCCACGGACTTTGCCAAGTTAGGCCAGCAATGGTCTCTTTCATGATCTGGAATTCCACAGGTGGATAAAAAGCTACTTGAAAGAGAAAAGTGAAGCAGGGAGGAGTGGAGAAGATGGGCTGATAGAATAAAATTGTTATGTAATGCTTATCCAAGTTCTTTCCTGAGGACCACAACTTCCCTACCTTTGAGATACCCATTACCTAAGAGCAAACTCTTCTTTTCTGAATAAAGTGCATCTAAGTTGGTGTCTCCTACAGATATGCAACAGAAAATAACGTTTTAGTCAATGTTGGATTGCATATTCACAAGTAGTCCCATAGGATTATATCGGTCAGTGAAATTATAGTGATAGTTTATGTAAGGCACTCTATGATATTCACACAACAACAAAGTCACCTAACAATGCATTTCTTAGAACTGGTCCTTAGGGAGTGATGCATGACTGTTCTTGCAATCACAGTGTTCTTACTCACCCAGGACATCTTCAGGCAAAGGGGAGGGGAGGTAGCAATTGAAATGAAACAAGTAAGGGGAGAAGTAGGCAGCATAGGTAGACTTTTCTTTGTTTGTACAAAAAAAAAAAGAAACTTGAAAATTTAAAAATGGGCATCTTTATTAAGAAAATTTTGGCCTGTGCCAAGGAGCCCTAAAGTTTCTCCTATTCCTTCCTGTGATGGTTTCAGGGTATCTGCTTTGACTTCAAGGTCTTTAATCCATTTGGAATTGATTCTGGTGCAGGGTGATATATGGGGACCCAATTTAATTCTCTACAGGTGTTTAACCAGTTTTGCCAGCACCATTTACTGAAGAGGCTGTCTTTCTTCCATTCTATGGCTTCAGCTCCCTTATCAAAGATTAGGTGGCAATAGGTCTATGGGTTCATTTCTGGGTCCTCAGTTCTATTCCATTGGTCCTCAGGTCTGTTCTTGTACCAGTACCAAGCTGTTTTTATTACTATGGTTTTGTAGTAGAGTTTGAAGTTTGGTATTGATATTCCTCCAGCACTGTTCTTTTTGTTGAATGTTTTTGCTATTTGGGATCTTTTATTGTTCCATATGAATTTTTGGATAAACACAACAAATCAAAGAAAGGTTGGACAAATGGGATTGCATGAAACTGCAGAGCTTCTGCATGGCAAGGACATAGGTAGCAAGATCAATAGAAAGTCCACGGGTTGGGAGAAGATCTTCACTAGCCATACAACAGACAATGGTCCCATAACTAAAATATGCTTAGAACTCAAAAACTTAAATCTCCCAACAACAAATCCTCAAAGAAACAACTGCCCAATTAGTAAGTGGGCTAAAGACTTAAAGACAGACTTCTCTGAAGAGGAAATAAGAATAGCCAATAGACACATGAAGAAATGCTCAACTTCTCTGGCCATAAGAGATACCACCTCACCCCAGTTAGAATGGCTATAATCAAGAACTCTAATAACAACAGATGCTAGAGGGGATGTGGCCAGAAGGGAACCCTACTGCATTGTTGGTGGGAGTGTAAACTTGTTCAACCACTTTGGAAAGTAGTATGGAGGTTCCTCAAAAGACTACTCCCCTATGAGCCAGCAATCACACTTTTAGGCATTTACCCAAACGATCACAAACAAGGCCATACTAAAGCTACCAGCACAACTATGTTTATTGCAGCATTATTCACCATAGCTAAGATATGGAGCCAACCCAGATGCCTCTTAGTAGATGAACAGATCAAGAAAATGTGGTATATATACACAATGGAATTCTATGCCTCCATCAAAAAGAATAATATTGCCCCATTTGTTAGGAAATGACTTGGAGAAAATTATATTAAGTGAAGTAAGCCAGGCCCGAAGAAACATAGATCCCATGGTTTCCCTTATCTGCAATAACTTGTATATGTCTATGACAAGCAGAAGAGGTCAAAAGCTATGTACATATGACCATATAACGTGATGCTAAGTGAAATGAACTCCAAGATAGGAACACAAGAGGTTTTATCTTTGTTGCTGTTCTTTTTATTGTACTTATAATGTACTATGTGATTTTTTTTTGTTTCTTTGTATGTTCTTCCCCCATGGTACAACCCATGTTGTCACTGTGTTTGATTCTGGTGTCCTGCATCTTGTACATACATTTTTCTAATTTGGGGAAGGGAAGGGAAATAACAAAATGCTGACATAAGGCTATAGGATGACCCATTGTAATAATGAGATGTACAAGACAGTATGTTGAAAACGAACTTTATAACTTTGTGGTGGTGAGGGAGAGGAGGGAGTAACCGGAGAAGTGGGGAGGAAAGGGATGGTAGGGGAAAACAAAGGAGGAGGCAACAATGCTTGACAGGAAATGTACTCATTGCCTTGCTCATGTAACTGTAACCCCTCTGTACAGTATCTTTACAATAAAAATATATGTTAAGATAAAACGCGGATGTGCTTCTGGGAAATATTGGTTGTGCTCATATAAAAGTCTTCTGTAGCACATGAGGCAAAGTACAATTTGAGTACTTAATGAGCATGGGAAAGATTGAAAGAGAACGCTATGGGACCAGAGCTGAGTATCACAAAGATAGAGAGCTTAATTCAGTTTTAGTTAGAAGCCACAGCTTCAGGAAGAATTTCTCTAACAATGAATGTCCAGTCTTCTAGATGTAAGAGTGGAGGGACTGGTCAGGACCTTCCCAGGATCTGTAACAATCATAATAGTATTCAGTCCATCCAATCTCCAAATACACAAAAACAAACAGCGGGTGAAACCCCACCACAAAGATAGCTTCATGAAATCCAAATACTATAATAAAATACTTAATGAAATTTTAAATACTATTGGAAGAGGGGGTGTGCAAGAGAGGTTGAGGGAAGATAACAGAGCGGGGTAACTTTCTGAAAGTATACCATGCACACCTATCTATTTATCACAATGTAACTCCCTTGTTCTGTTAGAGCATACTAATAAAAAATTTAAAAAGAACACACAAAAAGTCAGGTCCATAGCTGCCACACTTTGCCAAGCTTGGACCACCTACAACACACTGAAGTTCAAGTCAAAAGGGAACTTTTGACACACAAGGCTAAAGGGTAGTACAAAGGCCGGCTTAGAACCAGTGCAGAAGTTGCTTACTGCGGCCTTGACTTTGCCTGCTTTGTGATTTGAGCTCGCTACCTCTTCTGACAGGAATTCAGACAAGGAGTAGGGTACAGGTGGTCCAACAACAAAAGACAGTCACAAATTACATCTTTTATTTTTGCCTCTTCTTGTATCCCAATGACTCTCAACAAAGGAGGTGCTCTACTTTTTGGCAT